AAGTAGGTTCTGCTGTACCAGCATGAACAGGGTGTTTTCAAATGCACTTCACCCTGGTGATTTATAGACGCTTTCATCAGACGTGTTGCCATGGTGATGAGCTGGCCCAAAGTTAACTTCCGTTCTGTTCGTTTATTGGTGTTTACTGGATAATATGGCATTGACTACAAATGCAGTGAAAGTTAAGGTGATGAGCAGGTTGTTGAGCTGTGGGGTGCAACCTGACCTAGGGAGCAAACGCAATTTTTAAAAATAAAAATGTCAAGGTTTCCTATGAGGGAGACGGCGGTATTAAAATAGCCTAGCTATTTTTATCTGAGTGATAACCGGTACAGTGTTTCCCATACATTTATTAGTGGCACATAATCAGCGCTGACCGCCACATATTGATTTCCGTGTTTTTAACAATTTAAGATGGGAAAAGTTGTAATTGACTGCAGAGTTGCGTGCAGCGCATATTCGCACGCTCTCTCTCTCTCTCTCTCTCTTGCAAACACATTGACAGCGGACCAGTCTGTGTATTGAATGGTTAGTATCATAAACAGCGCTGCACAGATCCATCCAACATGCTGTCAATGTGGAGACCCACCTTAAAAAAAGGTTAGCAAGGATGTAAGAAGCCTAGCTAATAAGGAGAGCTATGTTAACCTTATCAAACCCCGCCGTCGCGCTCGCCACAGTTTTTTTAACACTGCGGTAAATCAGACCTGTCTATGAATCAGACACGTCGGTAGAAAAACATCTTGTCTCCAATTTTTGTTCAACGGGTCTGGTAGTGTCACATTTCAGTTTGGCCAGGTAACATTTTTTTTTCTTTGACTGGCAAGAAATACCAGCTACTAGGATATTTACTTGTTATGGATTGTCTCCGCAAGTCTGCCGGAAGTTAAGTTTGGGCCAGATTAATGCACATGCGCAGTACCGTTTGTTTATGTTGTCACTGCTGAAAGCGTCTATAGAGGATCAATGTTTTGTCCATCTACACCAACACATGATAGGCCCACGGATTTGGGGGAAAGTGTTTCAGTACTAAGAACACAGCCCTAATCTCTTGGCAGTTGTTGTGCCAAGACAGATGAGGGCCCTCCCCACTACCCTGGATGGACTTCCATGACCGCTGCACAGAACGTAAGAGTGGTGTCCATTGTAATGCTCTAGCACTGGTAACAAGCTCATACTCTTCCCAAAAGAAAGGGCATGAAGTGCTCAGCGCATGACCCTTGCCATAAACATGGATTTTAATAAGGGATGAACCATCACTGGAAGTGTCTCGTGTGCAGCAAGTCCAATGAAATTACTTTGGCGGCTGCAGCCATAAGATTTGTCAGAACCTAGTATTGACGGATGGAAAGCTCTTGGCCTTACCTCAGACTACCTACCATGATGTGAATAGGTGGTAATCGACAGTGTAAACATTGACCTGACGCGGGCCACCCAGGGATGGAGGAAAGCTCTTGGAGAGGATCACCGGCCACTCCCTTCACTCGTAGGAGGACTGAGTAAAGTTTTTTGTGGACCCGGTCATCCGCCTTGAACCGAGTCGGTTCAATTTGCTGGCTTCGCTCTGGCTCAGTTATATTAATCATGCCTAGGTGTTGAGCTAAGATGCTCCTAAAGCTAGTGATATTTATCACACCTACAGTACGTGTTGAGCATTGCTCCTGTCCTGTGTACGCACGTCCCAGTCCAACTACTAGTAGGCTGTTCCTCCACCCTCAAAATGATGTTGCCTCTGTATTAGCGCACATCATGTGGCAGAAGCATTGAAACCACGTCCTGATCGTCAGGTTTCTGAGGGAGCTAAGGAAAATTTCCTTGTGCCCCTCTTTATCCTCTTGGGCCTTATCTCTGGTGCAACTGCACTGCAGAGACTGCCCTTGAGCCACTGCAGGCAGTGAGTCAAAAATTCTGGGAAAACAGTTCTCCTGTTCATATAGTCTCTACTTGGATGTAGCTTCCGCAGCATCCCTTTCTTCCAATGTACAGGGAACGCTTTCCTAGTGGTCCTGTAGGAACAGCAGGGACTTCCCTGGCCTAAGCCCTGTCCTTCCCCGCCTCAAAATTGCGGGAGACAAAATTGCTTTTGTCTAGGCACTGGAAGGTGGCAGCTTTAGTGGCATTTTCAAAGGTTATCCCCATTCAGTCAACCGTCGACTACGTCCGACATTATTGACTGAAAGGGAACATCCTGGTTGTGTATGTAACCCACCGTTCCCTGGGGTTACTCTCGAAAAAGCAACTAGTGCGTGCATCCACTTCTGTATTTATACCCGCGTCTGGGGGCGGAGTGTGTTACATTGGCTCGTTCAATAGTACTCGAAGAACATAGGCTCTCTGACGTGATCCCCATTCAGTCGACCGTCGAATACGCATACGCAGCCAGGACATTCTCTAGAACCATGACAGATCTCTTGTTTAGATTTAGTCCCAAACTTAAATTATAACAGTGGATTGTAACATTGAAACCAGCCTGTAACAGTGCCATGGTGTGCAGGGACTGACCAGCCTGACCTGCTGCCTCATAATCCACAAAGAAGATGTGATCCTGCAGGGTCTTTTGTGCAAGGCTGGCCTCTTTATTGAAGCGTCAAAGCGTTAGATAGATAGCCCGCAAGTGTTTCTTCTACCCAAGGCAATGACTCCAATGTTGTTGGGTTATTAACACACAAGGAATATGGGGCTTTCCATAACTTAAAGATTTCAGAATGAAGATCGGTAAAGAAGGAAATGTTACATTTGATTGGCTGGGACAAACTGCCACTCATCTAGCTTACTTCAAAGCACTTACCTTTTTTGTACGGCCACTTGAGATTTAATTTAGCCACCACACAAGTGACGACCTCTATCAGCTCCTTATATGATCTAGAGGACAATAAAAAACTGCCCGCCAGTTGCATTCTACATCCTCAATATCCAACTCCTCAAAGATGGATCCCCAAGAGAGGGGGTTCTCGTCTGGAGAGGAAGAAATCGCAGAGCGAGCTTCCATATCCAGAAGGGGACCCACTGTGCCTTTCTCAGGCTAGTCTAAGAGCTCCATCTGAGAACCCCATGAGAAAAAAAAGTCGACTCGATACCTCGGCAGCTGCGGGACCCCATCCATGAGGTGTATAAATAAAATTCCCCTGATCATCAAAGAGGGTGAGGCAGGAGCTGTGCTTTCTCATAATAAAATGTTCACAGTGCTCCGCTCCCAAACAAAGAATAAACAGCTTGTGTCTATTGTCCTCAAGAATGTAATGAGGCACAGCGAAACACATCTCCTAAACTTTGACATTGTTTCTTTTTTTAAACTCCCCCTGTCCTCAAGACAGACAGACAGACAAACGGTTTTGCACACACAGTGACTAACAAGCAGCTCTTGAAGACAAGAAGCTGGTGATGCTCTTGCGCTGGAATTATTTATAGAATTGATTATGCACTGAGTTGCCTCTTCTGACTTTGTCCTAGGCCTAATGTTTTGGCCTGTACTACACATGACTTACTCTGAAGGCGTTCCCATTGCGTCAACACCATGACACAGCACCAATGTTAACTCGAAAGGGAACCCTCTTTTAAATATCTATCAGACTAATCTTATTTTTATATTTTCTGTCTCTCTCCTTACAGGACGTTCTTTTAAGATGGACCACAGGAGGAATCGATCAAAAGCCATTCCTTAGTAATTTTGCAGAAAGCACGTAATTTAGTATATATGTTGTAAGTGAAGCAAATACAATTATTAACATGATTTTTTTAATCAAACATCTGTTTTATAAATTCATAATTTACTTTCTGGGCATTAATTTTATGTTGAAAGCAAAACAATAAATATGCATTAGCAAATAGGTATTTTTGTGTAATATTTGTATGACTTCTGATCATTTTTCAAATTAAAGTGCCCCCATTATGCTATTTTAAAGTCTCCTAATTGTGTTTTGGAGGTCTACTACAACAGGTTTACATGCATCAAAGGTAAAAAAAAAAAATGTTTAATTTTCTCATAATATACATTGCACATAACCACATTTTTCAATGATTCTCAACTGATTCTGATTAATCAGTCTCTCTAAATCCCTCCTTTCCATGAGCTTCTCTGCTCTGATGTGTCAAACAAAAAAACTGAAAAAATCTGGAGGCTTTCTAAAGCTCAGCGATTGTACACACTGTTAACTAAAGACAGTAACGAACGATGATATCCATTTTTGGAAGAACTAGTTATTCAACCCATACCTCCATCGCAAGGACAACTTGAGCAGGACGTTTCTCAGTGATACACTACTGAGTTTGAGGTACATTATGAGATGTAACAACTGTAAATCCTCACCATCAGCATTAACAAGTGTATGCCGGGTCACCTGAACGATGGCCCAGACAGACAACCCAGGGGAATGGTCCCTGCACCCCCAAACAGTCCAGTAATTTCTATCCACGACATATGTGTGGCGGCGGGCTAGGCCTCCCCGTCCACCTTTGTAAGGTTTTATAACCTGGAAGTTCCCGCCCTACAGGTGAAACTGCTGTCATCTAAGTGAGAGGTCAGTTCTGCCTAGGTATTATCGTGTGCAGGCCACTCTCATTTAATTTAGCTCTTCTGGTTGAGCTGCACTTTATCAGGATATGTGCTATATGCTGATACATTGACCGGTGTTGCCGCTCTGTATTACTTGTGAGTGCTTATTAACATGCACTTATATACATGCGCTTATTCCCGCTTATCTGGGATCCCTGGATATCCTGGGATTCATGAAGTTCCCGCAGGGTAGCCTATGAGCACGCTAGACAGCCTGTTCTAGGTCTGCTAGCTGCTGTACTGCATTGACAATGGATACAAAATGAAGGATAATTTTTTGGCTTCAATATCTCGAGAAGATGAATCTTTCCCGTAGCGTAAACTTACACAATACTCGTCCCCTCATCTAGAGAGAACCGAGGTTATGTTAGGTAACCGATTCGTCCAGAGCAATTCAATCACAGAGGGAACAGAGATATGGCATGAGAGAACATACATGACAAATGAGCTCACTTAAAAAGCTTTTATTAAAACAGGTTTATACTGTAAGTGACAAATGTGTTGTTGAAAGCAGTAAGCCTGAATCATTATATAGGCACATACTGCAAAGACTTCTTAAGTTTGTACATTACTGAGTAATGGCAGCTGGTGCACCTGGTACTTTGTAATGGAAGGGATCAGGATCTATTTTGTTCAGTTGCTCTATGACAGTTTCATACTCTTTTTTCCATTGCTCTGGGGTCAGTGCAGATGGGCTGTTCTCCAGGAACTTATACGCATCTTTAGTCTGCAAGCTAAAGATGCTTTTTGCATGTAGACAGGATTCACCGAAGGCCTTCCAATGCTGGAAGATTTGAGGTACAAAGTCAATCACAGGAAAAAGAATACAATCAAGGTGAAATTATTTCTGCAACTGAATATTTTCTCATTGTCTAAGTTACCCCTTTTGCTGAGTTAATAGATTCCAGAAAGGTCGCCTTCATGTTTCTCTTCAAGATGAAGTCTTCCTTAGCAAAAGTCTCGTCTTTGAGAGCCTCCAACATTACACTCACTGATTCCCAGAACTTCTGAAGCTGAATCAGAATGTTTTGGATTCGGGAAAGGCATTTTTGGACGTCGTTCAGATGGACAGGGTCGGGTATTGAACCTTTGGAATTAATATGAAGCAGACATTAATTATGAGAGATCACTCTGGGGCTTCTGGTGTAAATCAGGGATTGTTTCGAGCACGATTGGAAAAACGACTGGAAAAAGTGAAAGAATCTTACCATTTTCTATTTTCATGGTTGCCAACTTCAGCTGCATGTCCGTCATCCTGACATGGATGCTCCACTCTTTGCTCATCAGACTCGACTTCTCAATGGAGAGTTGAGTCAATTCGCTTGACAGAACCTGGACTGTCGCAGCTGCTTCAGAGTCATCATCGCTTTTTGTAAATAATTTAACAACAGCTTCAATAAATGGTACAAGGGCTGACAAGAAACCCCCATCATTACTTTTTTTAGAAGTCGCTTTGACATGATTATACAGGTCTTGGTTTTTTTGTTTAATCGTTGTCTCAATTTGTATAATTTTCTGATGGTTGTTCTTCAGTTCATCTTCGAGATCTTTCACCGCCTTCTCCTGAGCCTCTATCTCAGTAGTAGTTTGTGCTTTTTTTTCCTCTGTCAGAGACTTTTCAAGAATGACATCACTGGAGCAGGAAGCCACACTGTGGTTGTGTTTCTCATATCTGGCGACAACAGATTTCAGATTAATCGTGAGCTGTGGCAAATTTCGTGGTATACACTGACTACACTTTCTAATGCTAAAATGAAAATTTTGGCAACATTTTGGAACATTTTACCTGTCCACCATTTGTCCCACTTTGTCAACAATTTCAGTGATCCATGCTCTGGCTTTTTCCAGTGACTTAATAGCCAAAATGCTTTCATCCTCTTCAACGGCAATCTTCAGCGCAGGCAGAAGTGTGGAAACCAGGTTTTTACTTGTGGCCGCACACTGAAAGAGAGCACAAATGCTCACATTGTTTATCCACGTTTCATACTTGTACTTTACATAGAAAACTATTTCTCCAAATCAATCTATAAAATATAAAACCTCTATGACAGTTTTGACACCATTTAAAAAAGTGCAGTCAAGATGGACAGTTTAAGAAGGTTCATTTCGGTAGGTTGTGAAAAGTTGTGCAAGCTGGTAAACGGCTCCGCTGTTTCATTCTTTCCTTCACTCTGTCAGAATCTGTATGGTATATAACGCTTTTTACAAATAAACTTGAGTAGAGGGCCGAATTGTGGACTATTTTAACAATGTCTTTAATAACTTTTCGAAGCCGGCAAGTTTCAATCCCTCAAGAAGCCTATGGACTAGTATGCAGGAGGGATCCAGCTCTCAGATTTCATCAAAAATATCTTAATTTTTGTTCCGAAGATGAACGAAGGTCTTATGGGGTTGGAACAACATGAGGGTGAGTAAATACTGACAGAATTTTCATTTTTGGGTGCACTATCCCTTTAAAGGACTGTTCACTGAATTTCTTTGCTTACCCAAAGATGGTTCTTCTATAGCATTGCGGTGAAAACCCACAACTGGAGTCTTCATTTTTAAGAGTGTCAATGGATGTGGTGTGCAATAACAGAAATGGATAAAGAACATTTACCTTCAGCAGAAGAGCCTCAGAGGACCCAAAGAGAAGCTGAGTTTCAACAGCACGCTGTCGGAGAACCCTTTCCAACTTGGGGAACTTTGCCAAACAGAGATAAGAGAGATGGTAGAGGAGAGCGGTGCGCTGAGCAGATGGAAGAAGCTCCTTGATAAAGTCTGGGGTAATTGCGATCACAATTTCTGTAGAATTACGAATGTGATAGTTACAACATGATGGTTTCGCGCAGACGTGTGTCAGTTATTAACATCAAATGTGTGAGAGGTTTACATTTTATCAGTGAAAAACAATTCCCAGTTATTTACCCACCTTGGCTGTCTGACATTTTTTGTCTGTAAAGGAAGTACCTGGAAAACAACAAGACTACCATGAGACATCATCACTATCATGAGGTAAGAATCAACAATAAATGAGAGAGGTCAGTTAAAGTTACCTGTAAGATGAATGAACCTCTCTAAGCAATGGTGATGACTGTGTCAGCATGGGGAATTTATACTGTAAGGCACCTCCTTAAAATGTCATAATGTCCTAACATCATGTCCTAACTAACATGATTCAGATGTTGTATTGTAGCTTTGGGGGATCTGTTCGGGCAAAATGAAACTTGAACATTTCACTTACCACAACTGTTGTCACAATATCCTGGTTAAATGAACATTACTGTAAATCATAAGAAGAGAAACTAAATACAATTCTATTTTGTATTTTAACATGAACTAATTCATTAATATTCTATTTATTAACCTTTTAACTGACTTCTCAACCAAATGGTTGAGCACATTTTGAGTCACTATATTTTATTGAGTGGAGTACCTAACTTAACTCAAACTTATTGAGTCATCTCTATCATCTGGTTGAGGTATATTATGCCAAAAAAAAAAAAGTCAATCAACAGCACTTGCCACAACACTTCTTCTAACATGAATGTCAGAAACAAATAAATCACCCCACCCATGTGAACTGTTTTTGGTGAATTTTTGCAAGCTAAGCATATTTTTTTTTTTACAAATTACACTGTAAGAGCCTTGACTTTACAAAATGATGTTACTTGGTGCTATGACAATAACTTAAGTATATTTTGAATAATTTTTCAAAAACATTCTCAACCAAAAAGTTGATTTGGCACATAACGGTAACTGTCACCCCCCTTTTTGAGAATGCACTATTAAAACTTGGTTGTAATTCAAGTATGCTTTGGAATAAAGACCTAAGTTTAGTCTTGTTTTAAAGAAAACCCTCAGCAGATTATTGCTGAAGTAAAAACGCTTAAAAAAAAATTGATGAAGTTAAAAGTTATGTAAGTTTTAAATTTACATTAAATCAAATATACTGTACTAAATATTTTTTCTTTTATATAAAATATTAGAGCCAGACCGATTTATCGGCAGGCCGATATTATCAGCCGATATTAGCCATTTTCCAAACTATCGATATCGGTAGTTATAATGGCCCATAATTTAATATTTCAAAAATAAAATAAAAACGGACGAAACACGCTTCAACCATGTCATGAGTGTTGCGGAGTTGTATAGTTTGTCCACCAGAGGGCACTCTACACCGTCCCTGTTGGCAACACTCGTGTATAACGCGCCACACATCCTGCTGATAGCTTATAAGGCAATGTAGGGACTAGTTATTATTTTATTTATCAGAACTTTAATATATTTTGATGTTCCTCTGTTGTGACAATAAAAGAAACAAGTTTCTTTTTAAAATGCATTATCATATTATTTTAGTTAAAACTCATAAATAACTACAAATAACTAATGTTAGGGAAATCTGTTAATGTTATGTTGCGTGTTTCTGAAATAAAAAATAAATAAAAAGTATTGGCCGATATATCGGCACATCGGATTTTAAAACCAACAAATATTTGTATCGGTATCTGCCTTCAAAATCCTTTATCAGTCTGGCTCTATAAAATATGTATTTTACGAAATATTTTTAAAATTACTATAAAATCAAAGCAAGTTGTGTTCCAAATTTGAAGTTGATATCACAAAAATTGACCTTCTCATGAGATTTTGAGGGGTAATACCAAAAATGACATAAATTTCATTTAATTTAATTGTATGCATTCTGCTGTAACAAATTAATACATTTCTGTCCAAATATCACTTCTGTTACAAAATATGGAACCTTGAGACTCGGACCTTTCTGACAATGTGTTTTGCCAAGATTAGAAAAGGTTCTGATCATAAATTATGATGGGAAATGAAAAAGTATGGCAAAATATGTGTATGAATTCCAGTGCCATTTATTAACATTAAGTAACAATTGGGTAGAGGCCGATATTTAAAAAATTATGGGATGTGTTAAAAAAAAAATACATTGAGTGTGGTTACTAGCGACATAAAAAGATAAGAAATGCAAACAAAAAAAATTCCATCACTTTTTTCTTGGTGCGGACTTCAAAGTGTTAAAATCAAGTATGAATATTATCAATTTAGTTTCTCAAAAGCATTTTTACATCTATTAAAAACAAACTAAAAACAGTAATTACAGAAATAAAAAGCCAAATTGTGTTTATCTGTTTAAAAAGTGCACATAGTGAAATGTATGTCATTGCAAAGCATGACATATTGTAGAAAATAGTGACATCAAGCACTTTCAACTAATTCTGAAAGAGATTTTTGTACTTTTGTACATGTACCACCATGTAAAATTAAATAAAGCCAAACTAGTTTATAATAAGTGAACAACGCTGGTTTTAAGTTGTTTTTGCATCCTCTGATATCACATGATTTAATTTGCAGGATGTGTGGCTCTGAGTTTGTTTTGTGTTGTGTTGAACTTTCTGTTGGCCCTGCTTGTTATCTACAGGCATCATAACTAATGCTCAATCATCACTTGTAGTGTGAATCTACTTTATTTCACTAACTGCATCACTTTTTCAGTGTTACTTCTACTCTCTATAGGTTGGGAACATAAAAAAACTGAGCTGTGCTAGTTTAATACTAAGGATTTTTCTGTGTACATGTCACAGGCCAATAGAGTCAAGCCATTCGGCAAAGCAGGCCCAGGTGCACATATGAATAGGCCCCTAGAGAAAACTTGATCCTATAGAATTGATAAATTAAAGGCTGATATCGAATCTGCCTTTTCTGTCAGATACTGGGAAAAGCTGTATCCTCACAACTGTGTTTCTTTCTTGAAAGAAATGATATCCCAGATAGCATGTAACCTCTGAAACAATGTTGAGTCAGTGTTGATGTGTCAATGCTGATTACATTGAAATTTGGTTAAGTGATGTTGCTTTAGTATCATTCTTGCACCCTCAGTTAATATTGAAATAATGTTCTGATTTCAACCACAAATGGTATTAATATTGCTTCAACATTACAAAGTGATATTGTTGCAACTTCACTTTTGGACCCTCGGTTAATGGTGAAGCAATGTTGAGATTTCAACCGAAAATCAACGGTAATAGTATTGATTCAACATTACAAAGTGATATTTTATCAACAACACTTTTGCACCCTCAGTTAATGTTGAAAGCATATTGAACAAAAAGAAAATGGTAATGCAATTGAATCAACATTACACTATGATTGATTCTACATCACTGATGCTGAATCAATTGAAATTAACAAAAATAATAAATGGTAATATAGTTGAATCAACGCTACACTATGATGCTGAGTCTACATCACTGCTGTTGAATCAGCTCTTAAATTAACAAGAATAATCTTTGGTAATATGGTTTGATCAATGTTACAATGTGATGTTGATTCTAAATACATTTAGTTAAAACATTGAACATTAAACTGAAAAGAATATCAAACAATGTTGACATCTGATGTACCAAGTTAATGTTGAAACATTAACATTTCAAAAACTTCAGTGGTGTGTCAACAAATTCCTGACCATTTCAAAATTTGGCAAAAACCTTTTAAAATATAAATGACACCTTTCCAGCAGTTGAGTCAATTTATTTTATTCAATCAATGACAAAAAATATATTGAAAGATTATTATTTAAAAAAGAAAGGGGTAGAAATAGGACAAAAGCACTTGGTCCAGGTGGTCCAACAGTTCAGGTTTTTACAAATCTGTCTTGCGTCAGATACACTTCTGCCTCTTTTCCTTTGTGTTCTCTGAAATCTGAAAAAGAAAGCATGATGTTACTCTAGAATGAGTCAATTCAGTTCTCATACATACGGTCACATTGAAGAATGTTAATATACTAAACACAATACGATTGACTTCTTTTTAAAATTTGCTGTATAGAAATTATTCTAACTATGATTATAGTACTATTAAATTCTGTTTATTTAATTTATTTTTCTAAAATCTATGAATGCTTCAATATCAAAAGAAAGCACCGGGGGTGTCCGATTTTAGCTCCAGCCTTAATTAAACACACCTGAGTCAGATAATCAAGGTCATTAGGATCAATGAGAACTTACAGGCATGTGTGTTGGAGCTAAACTCTTCATAAAGAGGAACAAACACCTCCGATAGCCATTAACTACATATCAGTTAATTTTCTGTCAAACTACTTAGTATTCAAGTAACAAGTTTATTTTGTAGAATGAAAGCTTTTAAGTTTTTTTCAATGAACATTTCTTTAAAGGGATAGTTCACTTTGAAATTAATTTTTTAATATGTTTTAGCATACCTCAAGGGCATCCAAGATCTTTGTTTCAACAGTATTTTCAATTTTGATATTTTTAGGTCAAACCATTCTTGCCTGTCAGTCATATAATGGAGGTCTATGGTCACCACCTCAAAGAGCATGCACAGAGAAGTCCAAATTAAACATGATTTAATGTAAGTACACATAAATGGCCTAAGACATGAAATGAGCGGTTTGTGTTCGAAAACGAACAGTATTTATATCGTTTTTACCTCTTGTAATCACAGTCACGTCCAACTGATCTGAAGGCACGGGCGCTTTGGTCTGTGCATGCGCCGGAAGTGATCTCTTGCGCGTGAACGTCAGTCATTGTTTACACAGAGATTTCGGAAGTTTTACCTTTCACTGTAAAGATCTAAACATACTCCTGAAATGTATATATGACTCCCTCCATTTTGGAGTTAAAATAACACTTTTGAAAGTGTGAAATAAATACATGTGAAATACTCATGGAGTACATTTTATCACTGTAAGTGTTCAACCAAAATGGTTGCGCCATACTCGCACTCGGCCTCTACCTAATGTATTGCTCTGAGATGGAAGGTCCCAATGTAACAATATATAGTTGCGCCATACTCGCGCTGATGCCCCTCCCTGATGAATTGTCCTGAGATAGAAGGTCCCACCTCAGGGAAAATCCCCATGGATTATTGGATCTTCTTCTTCCTGCCTGATTAAATTTGACTCAAATTGAGTTAAATGTACAGTCGTTTTTGCTGTGTGGAAAATCAAGCAGGAACGCCAATTTTGGAGTCTCCAAATAAATCCATTCTGCAACTTTTAAATACATAATTCAATTTTTAAAAACGGCTATATTCTTCAGGTGCTTATGTCATCAGTCGACCATAATCGCGCACCGCTCGCGCTCGCGCATGCGCATCTAGATGACACGGTCGGATAAACACACGCATCAATATGTTCCTGGGAGATCGGTAGTTGCAAGTGATGTGGAAGCGCGCAAAAGTTCCAGAAATGTTCAAAAAGTGCCCTGGCCTTGAATGACAAGGTAAGGAAAATAAGGCTAAAGCAAAATTAAATAACCAAGCTAGACTTGGTTGGTATTTTTCTCAGGAGATGTTTTGAGCATTTTACTTCAGACACCGGATTATCAGCAAACTGCCAAGAGAACTGCTAGCTGGCTACTCAAAATAAACTAGCAATCTATTCAGTCAGCCTATTTGTGTTTGATCTGTGTGAATTACTTGAAATATAAGACTTGCTAGACCTACTTTTAGCTACCAAGCAACCTTTCCACAAGGAATAGATTGGTTTTATTTTTTAGTATCAAATCAACCACTTATTTGAGTTAATCAGTACATGACTGATTAACAGTATAGTACATGCGCTAATATTAGTTTCTCTGTTTATCCTGAGGGACCTGCGCCTGGACCCATCCCAACTCATCCTGAAGTGCCGACCTCATCAGTCCTGTGAAGGCCTCACAAAAAAAATAGACACTTAACATGATCTAATAATGTTCAACACTTATATGTAAGATCTAAATCCACAGATAAGATCTTTTGCACTGATAAGAAAAAAAGCAAGCTTGTAGCGCCGGCACGATGGCAACCCAGGCTGGTTATGCAAGCTTGACTTTGCTTAAAGTGCAGTGCAATTGTGAAAATTTTGAGGTAAAATCAAGTGTCATCAACAGGCCTGTACAGGAACTGCTGGCAGAGAACAATCAAATTATTACATTTCTAAACAACAACCACTCAGTTTTATCACAGACAGGTCCAACACATAGAAAGGACGAATCTACCAAATGCCTGTTTAGTGTGAAATATCCTTTTAAGGATGCCTGCCAATCCCCCAAAGACTCCTCCCTCTGTTCTTTGACAATCGTTTTTTATGTCTCTCATTTCCAAACATTTTTAAAGAGGCGCCAGGTTATAAGTTCCCTTTGCTGAGACCAACAACTGCACTGCTCAGAAGTCCATTACTCTTACAGGTAACTTTTACTGACATGCTTCCTCCATCATTGTTGTAGTGATTCTTGTCTCAGTTTTTTTTTTTTTTTTCCCAGACACTAATAACTTTACAGACTAAGAAGAGTGAAGATGGATTGCAGAAGAGGAATGAGGGAATTCATTAAGGAAGGTGAGTAAAAGTTAATGAATTGTTTTTGACCAAGAAAGTGCAAATCAAAAAATAGTGTAGTATTTACATGCTTAATGTCGTGGTATTTGCCACAAGCCTGTGCCAAACCATCATTTAGTATTACATTTGTAATTCTACAGATGCGATGCTCGAAGTGGTAGACGTGGTAGAAGTGATGGAGGAAAATCAACTCGGCTTCTTTCAGGACCTTCTTCCCTCGGGAAAGCGTACGGCTTTGCTCTACCATCTCTCCTATCTCTGTGTGGCTAAGTTCCCCAAGTTGGAGAGGGTTCTTCGAGAGTGTGCTCTTGAAACGCAGAATCTCTTTGCCTCCTCTGAGGCTCTTCTGCAGAAGGTAAAGTCAAAAGTCTTCTGACTTTTCTTTTATTGAAGTAAAACTTTAAGAGTTTTTAAAATCTTAAAATAAGCTGATATAATCAACAGTAGGAATCGAGGATAGATTTGTATTGAATTTGAATTCAGGTAAAAAACAAGAATTGCAAGGTGAATTGAAATGCATTGAAATGAATAGAAATAACAGGGTAGCTTTTAATAATGTAGCCATATTTAATAAATGTATGCATTTCACTGTAATTATTAACTTGAAATGTAATTTAGGAATTCTTTTGAATATAATACACACCTGATATGCAAAATAAAGTTGTTTTTATTTAACTCTGTTCGACTTTTTGTCTTGTGGTGGAGATAAGGTTAATGATAGTTATATCATAAAATATTTATGATAAATGTTTGATATGATGGTACACATTATTGAAGTATGTGATGCTGTTGCCCATGATTTACAGTATATCTCATTAAATTCTAAGACTCTTTGGTTGTGTTGAGAAATTTATATTTGAATTAATATTAATGTTTATTTAAAATTTTGGATGGATTTCCCCAACCACCCGCATATTTTTGCTTCAAATGGCGAAATTCACCAAAAGGTCATGATTTTGGGGCACTATTAATTTTGCATTTTGTTTGTACAATAAAAATGGAACTTAAAGGAGTAGTTCAAAATTTTGCTGATAATTTACTCACCCCCATGTCATCCAAGATGTCCATGTCTTTCTTTTTTCAGTCGAAAAGAAATTAAGGTTTTTGATGAAAACGTTACAGGATTTTTCTCCATATAATGGACTTCAATGGGAACCAAATGGTTCAACGTCCAAATGAGATTTTCAGTGCAGCTTCAAAGGGCTTTAAACAACACGATGAATAAGGGTCTTATCAAGCGAAACGATCGCTCATTAAAAAAATAAAATAACAAATTTTAAGTTTTATAAGCTCAAATGCTCACCTTGCTCTGTTCTGTGATGAACGTTTGTGACTCTCCTGTTCAAACTAGTTCATCAAAATGAACAAATCTTTTTTTCTAGTCATGACTCGGAGAATCCTAGATAAGACCCTTATTCATCGTCCGGTGTTGTTTAAAGCCCTTTGAAGCTGCACTAAAACTCTCATTTGGACCTTGAACGGTTTGGTTCCCAATGTAATCTATTATATAGAGAAAATCCTGGAATGTTTACATCAAAAACCTCAATTTCTTTTCGACTGAAGAAAGAAAGACGCAGACATCTTGGATGACAGGGGGGTGAGTAAATTATCAGCAAAAGTTTTTAAAAGTGAACAACTTTTTTAATTATTCAATATAAAATTATGTATTTAAGTTGGCTCAAAAATCTAAGGGGGCACACATTGCAAGGACATAACATTAAAAAAATTCTTGCTGTCTTTTAGTGTGTGGACACAAGCAACCAAATGGTTTCCTCAATGTTCCCTCGACTGAAACTCGCTGTTGAAAATAATGAAAACATTGAGGCTACGAAGTCTTTGGATGAAGCTAAACAATGGATCGCAGAAATTGTTCACAAAGTGAAACAGATGGTAGACAGGTAACATTTTAGGAAATGTTTCTAAAGCCCTATTCAGACGGAATTAGTTTTAAAAGGGTAGATGGAGTAATGTAATTTTGCCACTGTTTTGTCCCACCGCATAGAACAGCAACTCCCAGCTAACAATTTTAGGTTCTGGGAACGTTAGTTTTTGGTTTCCAGAACGTTCCCTAAAGTTTTCTTAACGTAAATAGAACGTTCCCTTAAGGTTAGGGGAACGTTCTGGAAATTTTATGGGAACGTTCCTTTTAGGAGAACCTAAAAATAACCTACAGGGAACATTCCCAGAACGTTCTTATTTGGTTCCCAAAAAAATAACCAAATAGGAACCATACGGGAACGTTAGGGGAACGTTATGGGAACATTCTGTGTTTGAATGCTTTTTCAAGCGCCTCCATACTTGAAGAAACGCAGAAAACTACTTTTAAACCAACACATTCTCATCCTAGGGCGTCTCATGTAGTGACACTTTTGAAATTTCGTCTAAATCCAATGCACACTGCACCCTTTAGCGTCAATATAACACGCACAGAGCTTTGTTGGGTTATGGGTAGGTTTAGGTCTGGGGTAGGGTTAGGGTTAGACCACTAGGAGGCGCCTTCTGGCCCATATATATCTGCGACTCATATTGGTCGTCGCTAAAGGGTGCCATGTGCCTTGGATGTAGACGAAATTTCAAAAGCGTCAGTATATGACGCCTTGGGATGAGAACGGGCTGACAGGAAATGACTACGCTATCTCACGACCAATTCATACGAATTCGTACGAGTGATTAAAAAGTGGCTAATTCGTACTAATTCATACGACCTCACTCGTACGAATTCGTACGATTTGTCCAAACCCACGTGATGGGTAGGTTTAGGGGTGGGGTCAGGGGTAGGTCATTCGTACGAATTCATACGAATTGGCCAATTCGTAAAATATGTACGATTTAGCAAAAATGTACTAATTCGTACGAGTGAGGTCGTAGGAATTGTTACGAATTAGCCACCTCGTAAAATTTGTATGACTTTTCGTGAGATTGGGTTGGAAATGACGGAATATATACGCACAGGAATTAGTATTATCTGAGGTAATTTTTCCAGACTTTTTACATAAGGTAAAAGTCGCCGTAATCGTTACTGACATTGTCCGTAGTGATTGCTGAGATGGCACATTCGGACGGGACTAAAATAACTGTGAAGCTCTGGTAAGAATCACTTTACCCCACCTCTCCATGTTAAAATAATCGCGTCTGAATAGGGCTTTAGTGTTACACATCAAAAGCATTATGATGAACCCATACAGAACAAAGTTTACTGTGATTGAACTAATGATCTGAAATCTGCCATTATCAGATATGAGAAACACAACTACATTGTGGCTTCCTGCACCAGTGATGTGATTCTTGAAATGGATGAGACAGAAAAACTAAATGCACAAACTACTAAGGAGATAGAGGCTCTAGAGAAGGTGGTGAGAGATCTTCAGATGGAACTGAGGAAAACCTTGGAGGAAATCAGACAAATTGAGTCAAATTTAAACCAATGGCATGTCAAATTTGCTTCTAGAAGACGGTTTGGTTTCAGTTTCCTGGCTGCCGTTGTTCCATTTGTTGGAAACATTATTAAATCCATATTTCAAACTAGACCTTCACCAAACCAAGCTCTCGCCAATGAAAAAGCTCATCTCGCTGCTCAGAAGTCAAACCTGAAAAGCAAGGAGCAAAATATCCAAGTCAAGCTGACTGATTTTCAGCTGAAGTTGGCAAACAAGAAGGCGGAAAAGGGTAAGATTCTTTCAAGATCTGTGTGTGGCAAAAACCTCAGAGTGATCTCTCATGATTAATGTCTGCTTCATATTGTTTTTCAAGGTTCAATACCCGAAACTGTCTATCTGAACGATGCCCAAAAGTATCTTTATCACATCCAGCAAACTCTGCTTCATCATAATATGTTCTGGAAATCTGTGCTAGTATTTCTGGAATCTCTCAGAAGCGAGACCTTCGCTGATGAACACTTCATTGAGGAGAATGAACTGAAGGAGATTGTTCTAAAGCATATTGATTCAGCGCAAGAGGTAACTTACACACTGAGTAAACGTTCAGTTGCAGTTTATGGGAGTTAATTTCATTGCATTTTCTATATTGTGGTTCATTTTGAATTTCAAATCTTTCAGAATTGGAAGGGCTTTGGTGAATCCTGTCTGACGGCAAAGATGGCTTTTAGCTTGCAGAATAAGGATGCGTTTAAGTTCCTGGAGTTTAACCCATCTTCATTGTCACCAGAGGAATGGAAAAGGCAGTATGACGTTGTCAAAGCAGATTTTACAAAAATAGGCTATTGATTAGCACATCATTGGCCTATTTTGTTTTTTCACATTAGCTTATGATGGCTGCCGTTACTTACAGTATATATAAGTACATCCAGCTTACACAATGTTTTAATACAAAGCTGCGTTTAAATGGTCACTGGCTAGCACTTTGGTTGCTAGTGGGCCTTCCCACTAGTTTTCTTATAAAGGTCATGTTGTGAAAACATCTACATTTACATCAACATTTTGGAATCAATATTTCTTTCCACTAAACATTTCAAAGGGTAAATATTATATAAATGGAATCAGAAAATGTATAATATAAAAGTCAATGTGTAAAAATTTGAGCATACATTTATTTTTAAATTAGCATCTTGACTGTAGTTTGATTTATAGACTTGCTGTGGTATTATATGAGGAATTTATAAAGCCAAAATCATGATTAATATAATATTGTTTTAAATGTTATGTTGCTTGTGTTTGTATTGTGTGTAACATGCTTTTTTAAATGGATAAAAAACTGTGCCATTTCTTTCTTCTTAACAACCTCAACAAACAAACTCGACCAATTTTAACAATAGTTCCATTTATCTTTCTCTGACTGAGAGCCTGATTTATACAAAAAAAAGAACAAGAGCAAGTTTAGAAAACCCTTTTACCTTTCTCATCAACAAAACAAAGCAAACAATCTAGCTTAGGCCTACCACTTAGTCAAGACAACTTTATTTATATAGCGCTTTTTACAATACAGATCTATCAAAGCAGCTTTACAGTGATAACATGAAAATAATACAACAAAGTTTGTTTAGAAGAAAATTGCGCAATCGTCCACCTTAAAGGGCACCCATTATGCCCCTTTTTACAAGATGCAATATTTGTCTCGGGTGTCCCAGAATGTATTTGTGAAGTTTCAGCACAAAATACCCCACAGTTAATTTATTATAACCATTTTAAAATGTCATTTTTGGGGCCTGTTTTAAAAAGAGCTGTTTTGGTGTGTACCACCTTAAATGTAAATGAGCTGCATATCCTCACCCTGCCTTTGGATGAGGGCGTCACTTGCATACCTATGGCAGTCGGTCTAAGCAGAATGGATGAGAGTGAGAGACCCGCTGTCATTCAGCCGTACATGTTTGAATCAGAATATCAGACCTGTCAACACTTCCGTTATTCCCGGGTTTCTCACGTGTTTTAGCCCTATCTCCCGGACCACTCCCGATTTGTTATTTCTCCCGGGAAACTCGAAACAGTAAGACACTTACAATACTGAGCCCCGAACAAAGGGAAAACTCAAGCTTAAAGGGTTAGTTCACCCAAAAATTTAAATTCTGTCAGTATTTACTCACCCTCATATTGTTCCAACCCCGTAAGACCTTCGTTCATCTTCGGAACACAAATTAAGATATTTAAGATATGAAGATCGCTCCTGCATACAGTCCATAGGCTTCTTGAGGGAATGACACTTGCTGGCATCTAAAAGTCATTAAAGACATCGTTAAAATAGTCCAAGTGACTACAGTGGCTCTATCTTAAATTTATCAAACGACGATAGATGAATCGTGGTCTTGCATATGTTAGTCCATTTTTGTTCTCCACTTTCTGTCTTTGTATTAAGCTGGATCGTCGATGTGACTTTTTTACACAAGCTCGGTTTCCTTTCTTAAAGGTCCATAGCTACAATCTTTTTGACACAAATGATAAAGTTTTACTCAAATAACTGGTCTATTGAGCAATAATCCCTTATGTTTGTTATTCTGTGACAGAACCTCACACCGATTTGCTGGCGACCATTTTTTTCACTTGATATTTGCATAAAGTCGATGCAAATATTTTTGATGCTCTCGACCGCTCTCAACACTTTCTCTGGCGACTGTCAATCCCACAATGCAATGCGAGAACGTGAAGCTCAGCTTTCTGGAGGAATTAATTGAAAACTCTCTTTCTGCATCCATCCATTCTGCACTTTTTTGGAGTGGCACGTACTCCACAACTATTTGAGGGTGTTCACACAGGATACATCAAATGAAACTTTATAAACTGGAACATTTTCATGCAATTATATATTTGTCCATTGGGTGACTCTCTTACATTCTATGTTAAGGGCATCTGGATACTGAGACAAGTGGTCTGTATTGGTAATTGGGAAGCACAGTTTTGCATGATACTAATAATTGATTCATCATGCTGACTGTGCTTATTGCATTATTATGTTTTGTTAATCATGTTTAAACATGATTCATTGGTAAAGAGTGACCTTCAATGGAACAATAATGACAATTACAGTATGCGTGTGCTTCATATTTGTATGCTGTGAACTTGAAAGAATAGGACACCACAGGAAGCTAATTGGAAGCAATGTTTATCCAATGGACCAGAATATCCAGTGCATCCGTGCCAAGCGTGCCCTCGGTCAGGAAATAATACTAGATGCAATGGGTTGAGTCGGGAGAGGCAAACAGATCTATCTGTGCGTCCCCGAACTGCATCGTCCCAAATCAGCTGCACCGACTGGGGATGGAGTCGCCATTCTCCAGGGAGGGGCCGAAGCCGCGAGAGCTCGCCGGCTGCACAGTTCAGGACTCCGGGAATATAAATGGCATGAAGCAACCTCAGATGCTTCTGACTCCATATGAGGAGGTGGAATGCGGTAATACATACGGTGCGCAGACCACGTTGAGGGTTGATGTACGCTAGAGTTGGGGTATTGTCTGAACAGACTAGTACATGCTGACCCTTGAGCATGGCTCGGAAGTGGCGCAGGGCGAGCTGCACAGCCAGCAACTCGAGGCAATTGATGTGCCATAGGCGCTGGGGTCTTGTCCAGGAGCCCGCGGCAGCATGTCCATTGCACATGGCACCCTAGCCCATGGTGGAGGCATCTGTCGTTACGACAACATGCCTGGAAGCTCGTCCCAGGGGCACTCCGGCCCGTAGGAAACTGAGGTTCGACCACGGGATGAAGGTCTGACAGCAAGTCGGAGTAACTGGTATTCGGAGAGTGCTGTGTTGCCATGCCCACCTTGGGACTTGGGCGTGAAGCCAAAGCTAAAGCAGTCTCATATGAAGCAATCTGAGCGGCGTTGCCGTGGCTGCAGATGCCATTTGCCCCAGAAGTCTCTGAAAAAGTTTCAGTGGGACCGCACTCTTGCCCTGGAACTCTTTCAGGCAAAAGCCAGCAGTGACTGCGTGCACGCTCACTCGTAAGCTGCGCGGACATGGCGACCGAGCCAATATCCATACCGAGAAAAGAGATCCTCTGCACAGGGAAAAGTTTGCTCTTCTCCCAGTTGACCTGAAGGCCCAGACGAGCTAGGTGCCAGAGCACTAGGTCCCTGTGTTCGTAAACCTGATCTCGAGAGTGAGCAAGGATCAGCCAGTCATCGAGATAGTTCAGGATGCTAACCCCGTGTTCCCAAAGGGGAACAAGGGCTGCCTAGGCAACCTTCGTGAAGACACAAGGAGACAGGGCTAGCCCGAAAAGGGGAACCATGTACTGGTATGCCTGACCCTCAAAAGCAAACTGTAGGAACGGTCTGTGTTGACGGAGACATAGAAGTAGGCATCCTTCAGGTCGATTGCTGCAAACCAATCCTAGGGCAGCACACATTCGAAAATGTGTTTGGTGGTGACCATCTTGAACGGCAGCCTGTGAAGGGAGCGGTTCAGAACACGCAGAGCCAGGATTGGCCGTAACCCACCGGTTTTCTTCGGGACAATGAAGTACGGGCTGTAGAAGCAGGACCTCATTTCGGCTGGAGAGACAGTCTTGATCACACCCTTCGCCAGCAGGGTAGCAACCTAGACCCAGACGTGGACTCGTGCTCGGAGATGCCAGGGGAAGGAGTGGCCCAGCTACCAACTCTGAGTCCCATCTCTGAGCGGCTCATCTCAAGAGGCACTGGCTCTGCCTCCGGCTCTGGAACGGGCACTGGCTCTGTCTCCGGCTCTGGAATGGGCACTGACTCAGCCGTGAAACAGTCTCTGACTGGGCAGACGGGACGTGAACAGTCTCTGACTGGGCTGACTGGCTGTGTCTCTTCCTTCTCCTTCTCCAGACCCCCGGACTCAGGACCACCGGAACCAGGGCTACTGGAACAGGGACCACCGGAAGAGGGACCACCAAAAACAGGGATCATCTCCCGACTACATCCTCCTCTGTGACCTCCGCGGGTCTGGCGAAACTTAACCAACCGGGTCCCCTTAAAAAATTCCCTTCTCTCCTGCTCGGTGGCTGGGGAAGAGATGTTACAAAACATACCGCTGGATTCAGGTTGATTGAGTCCTTCTGTCACAAAACACACACAGGGAACAGAAAATCCAAATGCAATAAATTAATTTAAATAAGGGTAATCTAAAATCGTAGTCCTCCAGGCATGGGTCCAAATCCAAATAATCAATCCAAATATAAGAGCAAGAACCAGGCAGAACGGGCATCAGAAGTGTGGGGAAAATATACAAGGGCTCTGAACAGACAGGGTATAAATACACAGATACTAACAGGGTGAGTGAAAACAGCTGCCTGCGATAATCAATGATGACGGGAAACAGTTGAGTGCAATGAACAGTGATAGGTACAGACAAGGATTGTGGGGAATGCAGTTCCAGAGTGAATGGTGACAGTATGGGGAAAGAGACCTCTAGTGGAAACTTAGGGAAACAAAAACCAGAAACTGTGACAGTTTCGCTTGATAAGACACTTAGGGGCCGTTTAAACCTGGCCACTTCATGCGTTTTCTGTGATCGGATAGCTATCCGATCGTAAAAAGACCAGGTGTAAATGCCCCCCGAAACGCATTTGAGACGGATTTGAATCCGATCGCTCAAACCACTTCAGGAGGTGGTCTGGGCCGCATTCCAGACGAACCTGGACATGTGTAAATGCATCTGGTTGTTGAAACCACATATGTAAATTTTACTACTCCCAAAAATGCTAAAAAATAAAAGCGTGAGAGCGTGTTATAGGGTATATATGTCATGTTATTTTAGTCAGATATGACGATGCTACTGCGACACGCATCACCTCAGATGAGCAGCTGACCACCTATCATGCCAACATGCCGCAATCTATCGCAAATCAAAGTGAAAGTAAGTCGCAGACGCTTAACACTACCATCTTCAATAAAAGTAAAGAAACAAAATCTTACCAGGGCTGTTGCCGCTGTCTCTTATTGCTGTCTTTGCTAATTTTGAAATTAGCCGATGATCAATAAAATTCAGCTCATATCTGTTGCTTTCGGTGACGTGCACTTTATTAAATCTACATATAGCGCGGGAATTGAAGATCGGATTTATATCCGTTTCGCAAAAACACATTTATGTGACCAGGTGTAAATGGAATCGTTAAGATAAATCAGAAAGCTATCCGATCTGAGAAAACGCATGAAGTGGCCAGGTGTAAACAGCCCCTTATTCATCATCTGGAATCGTTTAAACCCTTTTGAACAGTTT